TAAAAAAAAGGTCTGTGAAAAAACAAATTTTTAGTTCGGAAGTCGATTGAGTGTAGGGAAGCTATTAGCACCCTACAATACGAAACAGTTACCAAATTTTGTCAGAAATTATCATATTATATTTTTTGGTCAAGAAGAAAATATTTTTGTAGTTTTATTTAAATGTCTCATATTTTATTAATTCATACTTTATTTGAAAATATGAACTATTAAAGATTGTTAGAAATTTTTATTACACTCGAACTTGAGGCATGAGTGCAACACTCAAGCTTCTTACCACTATGCCAATACACTAACTTAATTTCTTCTAGCAAAAAAAAACTTTGAAGTTATTTTTTAAAACAAAAAAAAAAATCGCCAGTATTTTTTAAATTAAAACAAAAAAAAACTTTTTTATTTATTTTGAAATTAGAGAGATTCTTTAAGAGATAAATTTTTATTTCTTAATTAAAAAAAAGTTTTACTTAAAACAAATGTTATTCTACTTCCAAAACTATAATTATCCAACTCCTTAAAAAAAAAATTATTCCCCCTTTATAACAACTTATGTTTTTATGTTTTGTAAATTCGAAATTTTAACAAGTTAAGATTTTATTTTAAAACAACTTTCTAAAAAAGATTTCTTTAAATCCTCTCTTTTTTAAAATTCCTGTACCAGAAGACTTTTTTTTAAATATAAAAAATAAAAACAAAACTGATTAGAAAGACGCAAAACAAAAAGAATAAATATTATTAAAAAGTTAAAAAAAAACTAACTCTTAAACTCTGAATTGAAATTTAAAAGAATCTCATTTATTTTTTAAACAAAATTTATTTTATAAAAACTCTTTTTTTTTTCAACTTATTTTAACCAAAATTTTAAAGGAAAATTATTTATTTAAACGAAATTAAGTTTTTATTTACTTCATTTAAAAAACTCTTTTTATTTTATTTTAAAAACAAATTTTATTGTGAAATCATTTACATTATTTTCAAAAACTTATTTTTAAAATGTAATTTTCTTTAAAAGGAAAATGTTAGTTTTTTTTTTTTATTATTGAGAGAAGGGGTAAACTATTTTTGCGCAGAGATTTCTATCGCCAGGCTTTTGCTAGAAAGTAGTAGGAACACGTGGGTGTCAGAGTGGGTCACTGAACTCTTCGCCGTCGTTGGTCTATTACCGCTCGCGCTGTCGGAGTTTGCTGGAAAGGCGTGCCGGATCTGTTGTGCTGCTTATTGTCGTTCATGCCTTTTGCATGGTCACCGGACTCTATCAAATCTGTTCGTTGTCGGACTCAGAATTTATGGTAATGGCTCGTCAGATTTGCAAATGAAAAGAATATATATAGGTTTTGGGAAATGAAGAGGGTGTGATGGTGAGGTTAACGGGAAAGAGTGAAGGCTTGAATGAAAGTGGCCAAATTCTAGACAGAGAATGAGATGAAGAAGAAGGAGGCTGGGGCTTTTAGAAAAAAAAATCGTCTTTGATTCTTCCGTACTCCATTCTGTTCTTGTTCTCTATCTCTCCTATGCACTACAGGCTCTTAAATACATATAAAAAAAAAAACAACCTTAACATGGCATAAGTCAAGTAAAACCAGAGGGAAAAAAATAAGGAAAAGGGGAATGCCGCCTGTAGAACTTTGATGAAGAAAAAATCAAAGGAAAAAAAACTCTGTTTCTTAATTAAAAAGAAAAATTATTTAAATAAAATCCTAATTTGTATATAATAATAATAATAAAATTAAAGTCTTTTTAAAGCATAATATACTTTTAAAATTTAATTTAATTAGAATTTTACACTAAAACTTAGGTTATTTTTAACCAAAAACAATTATATTAAAACTTATGTTATTTTTAATCAGAATAATTAAAAATTAAACTTAATAAGGAAATAATAAAAATAAAAATTAAGCCGAACAGAATACGGTGTCTACAACTTGCCCCGTTTGTGTATACTTGCAAAACGAAAAGGATAGATAAAGGCAAAAAGACAAAGTATTGGAAAAGCGAAAATTTTATTCAAAGAAGCAAGAGAATACATATCACAAAGTCATTACTTATGTTATTGTTACAAAAGTAATGCAGAACCTTAATGGGAAATTGGACTGAATAGCCGTTTTCAAAGGCCAACTATGAAATGTATCACCGCCTCCAAATTTTACGTTTTCTAACAATTTGTTTACGTCACTTTTGCATGAAATTACAAATTACCCTTTCTTATTTTATCTCTCATTTTCTCTACTCTTTCCTCCTCCTCTCAACTCTGTCTTTCTCTCTCTTCTTCATTCTTCCATTTCTCTGCCTCTCTCTGTGATTTGATTTTTTTTTTTCACTATCAAATTTTTCAAGGACGTGCACTCCTCTCTCCCCCTCTCTATTTCTTCCATTTTTTTCTACACCACATCCCATTTGATTTTGGATTTTTTTATTTTGATTTTGAGGGCATGCACTTTTCTCTTTCCTCTCTCTTCCTTATTTTTCATTCATCTCCTCTCAATCTTGACTCCATTGTTGGACCTTAAAATTCAAAAAACAAAATAACAAATACACAACACAAAAGAACGGGGTCACACCTAAAAGAGAGATAAAAACTCAATAAAGAACACCAAGAACAAGGAGTTCACATAAACCCCCCAAATAAAAAAGAAAATAACAGAACACACAAAAAAAAGCTTTCGCTTTCTCGTTCCCGTTCGCGACGCTCTCACTCCCGCTCTCGCCCCTCTCGCTCCCACTCTCGGCGCTCTCGCTTCCGCTCTCAGTGCTCTCGTTCCTGCTCTCGCTCTCGACATATGTCTCCCATTGGAAAAAAAATCGTAAATGGAGCAGTTTGTTGGTGTTTTTTTAGAGAAGGTGAAGAAAAAAGAATGGGAATGGGAAGAGGTGGCTTAGGAGTGATAGGGAAGAAGATAACAATAAATATTTAGGGTTTTTTTATGGTGAGTAAAGAAGAGAGAGAAAGTTGGTTTTGGATTTTTCAAGAAAGAGAGAATTTGTAATGGGATGAGAGAGGAAAGAGGAGAGAGAAAGGGAAGAGAAACTAATAAATTAAAGAAAAAATGAGGAGGGCAAATACGTATTTTCACACAAAATTGATATCAGCAAATGTTTACAAAACATAAAAATGAGGAAAGGGACTACATCTCATAATGGGCCTTTGAAAAAAACTATTTATCTTCTTTACCTAATCTTAATGGTCTTAATGCATACTACCTTACCAATATTTACCATTTAACCCATTTCTTTCCCCAAATGAAACTTCTCATTCCATGAAAAATATCAAATGTCACTGTTGTGCGTAAGCTTACCTTTTCTTTTTCTTCCTTTGCATCTTCCTTCCAAGCAAAGATTACACAAAAATGAAAGACCCAAAGAGTTATTGACCAAAAGGAAGAAAACTCAATAATTATTTTCCTCAAAAATAGCTAATGGAAATTAAAACCGGCTTATGGAACCTCAATTTTCCGGTGTTCTCCACGATTTTCCGCCAAATTTTGGAACCTATTATTCTTCCCATTTCCCTTATTTTTCCTCACGAGACCTCCCTCACTTCCTCATTTTTTCTTCTTCTTTTCCTCTCTTTTCACTCACTCTTTCTCTCTCTCTCTCATCTTCTTTTCTCTTTCTTCGTCGCCCCTCCAAGTTTTGTTGTTTTCTATTTTGTTTTTTTTTCTAAATTTTTGTTAGTACATCATGTAGGGTATATATTTGAACTTACGATCTCTTGTTGGAGATATATGACAATCACCGCTGAACAATGCTCCCTTTGATTTTTTTTTTTAAATTTCTTTTAAAACTTTTCAACATTTTATCATATCTTTTTTTTTTCTTTTTTTTAACATTTCTAGTTGACCTCATCTTTAATTAAGAAGGGTATTATACTCTTATACAAGCTCATCCTCTGGGCTTCACTTATAATGATCCATAAGTGAGCTTTCTTATTCAAGCTCATTCTTCGGGCTTTATATTTAGGGTAAAAATCAAGGGCAAGGATAGAAGAATTCCACTAAAAAAAATAGGTACAAACTTTATCTCTTATAGATAATAAAATCTCTCAAGTGAAGAATCTATCTCTATTTGGTTTCAAAAAAGGCTCATACTGTAGTTCACTTGAAGTTGGTGATCTTGGGATAGATTGCCAACTATGGGTGCCCACCTACTTATGGTCCAAACATACGTGCTCATCAAGTAAAATTTTATGGCTACAAATATGCTACAACTTGGCCTCGGATAAGGTGGTGATCTCGTGGTCATAATTTTGCCACATATTGGCCTAGTAGCTTATTATAACTTTAATTCTCCAAGGAAGCTTCATGAGCCAGTTTCACAAAATTTAGTGGTTTCTAGTGACTTCGATCTCCTAAGAAGCTTATTGAGCAAGATTTTGCAAAATACTTAATCTAGTGGCTTTTAGAAACTTGTTGAGTAAGCTTGTCAAAATATTAGTAAACGCTCTCCTTGGAGTTTATCCTTTGGGCTTTACTAAGGGTTGTCACTAAGTATTTTGATGCCAAGTTGAGCTCTCTTGTAGGAGTTCACATTTTGGACTTCATGTAGGAAAATCTCTTAGTGTTTGGATGTCATGGTGAGCTTTCTTATATAATCTCATTCTTTGGGCTTCGCTTATAATGATCCATAAGTACTAAGCTCTCTTATACAAACTCATTCTTCGTGCTTCAAAAACCATGGGCAATGATAGTAGAATTCAACGAAACAAAATAGGAGTATTACAAATTTTCTCTCTTTCAAAGAATAAAATCTCTCATAATAAGAAACTCTCTCTATTCTGTCTCAAAAGGCTCACACTATAGCTCACTTAAAGTTGGTGATCTTGTAATAGATTGCCAACCATGATTGCTCACCTATTTATAGTCCAAACATACTTGCTCATCAAGTAAATTTCTATGGTTACAAACATGCCACATCTTGGCCTTGGATAAGGTTGTGACACTACAATAAATACTGCTTTTTATAACATTAAATTATAGTATTTTACATTTTAATGCTATAAAAAATGGTAGGAATTGCAACAAGAAAGAAACGAAAGAGGGGGAAAATTTGGGCCTGCGTGCAAAATCAAGGAAAAATTGAGGGTTTACACATCATGCTAAAAAAAGAACTCCCTCATTTCCCTCATTCGGCTTCCTCCCTATCTCTCTCAACGAAGCTCCTACACTTTCCTTCTCTTTGGTGAAACTCTCCAGCCTACACTATCGTTTTCTTTGGCGCATAGATCTGGCAGTGGTGGTGGCTCCCTCTTCGTTGACGGTTGAACGACCGAAGATCTGGTGGCTCCCTCTTCGACGACGACGACTTGAGACGTTGGGTTGCTGTCCGTTTCGTCTGTTCGCTCATAAGGTAACTCTAACTCTAAATTACTCTTCGTCTACTTCCAACCAGAATTTTGCTTGGTTCTTCATTTTTCTTTTTTTGTCTTCAATCTCTGTATTATATTACTTACTAACAATAATAAGAATGACAATCGATTCTCTTTGGAGTGAACATAACTAATAAGTTTGGAATGCCAATTGATTTTGGGTATTATATGTATTTTATTTATATATCTAAGTTTGAAAATAGAGAAATTTCCCCCTTTTTTTTCCTCACCAAGCAGAGACTTATGAAACGGCCATATATGGGAGGGGTAGTTCACCAAACAAAAAAAATGTTCACTAACTTCCCTCTGGTCAAGCTTATCCATTGCATGAATATTGTTGGATGGAATTCTTCTGAATGGTCACAGGTGAAAATGGGAGGACTTGAAATTTTGCTTGCTTCTTACCAAGATTTGGAGTCTAATTTATTAGGTACATCATATAATTGTTCTCAAAACTTCATTAGTTGTACTTGTGTATTTATGGTTGGCTTATTTGCATTTGCTAAGCATCTAGATTCCCTGCCTGCAGGCTTTTGATTTAATCGGTGTGTTGCTTAAGCTGTTCCTTTTTCCAAAATTCTGATAGAATGGTTTGAAGAAAATTTTCATTGAATGTTGTTTTGTTGGTGGTTTCTTACAAAATAGTTGTTGAAATTTTAAAGCTTACGGCTTGATATGATAAAAGTTATACTTGTAGAGAAGCCAAGAGGTATACTTATTATTTCCATCAAGCCTAATTTTGCCTCACTATTCAAGATAGATGGCTTCTTCCCATATGTTTTTCAGAGTCACGAGCTTATTTTTACTACATAACGTTATAATCATTTATCTAACGAGACATTAACTAAAGGTTGTAAATGGGCTATTGTCTTGGAAAAATATGTGTGTATCATGTATGTATACGAGTTTCAATTTTTCTCCTCCATACATAGTTTGGAGCTCCATAATTTATACTCTGAAGCATTGGTTTGTGAGGTTTGGGTTGTAACTACAATTTATTCTTAGTCTTACTCTTTGAAACGCTTTAATGATAAGATTAAGAATCCTTGATATTTTTAGAACTATCTTTCTCAAAACTTGTTTTTAGATCACTAAGTTAAAGTTCAGTAAGCCCAAGATACTATTATCTTTTCCAAGTGCACACAGATCACAGGATTATCTATTTATTTTGCTCACAAAACTAACTCTACTCATCTCTATCTGTGCCCTGAGAATCTTTGGTGCTTGTCTGAGTATATTCTTCACTGTTGTAAGTAGATATTGTTCGATCCAGTTTACATTTTGACAAGTTGCAAAATGAGCCTTTTCTTTGACCTAAAATCTTGAATGATGCATTTTTGCTTTAATTTGATTACTATTTTGAATTTAGTATTTTGCTTTCATTTAATTTCTATTTTAAATTTAGTATTTAGAAGTGGATTTTAGACTATCTTTCCTTGTTAAGATTACAGTCTCTAATCGCTTCTAAGTTATTTGTGATTGTTAGATCAATTAAACACTCGTTGGCAATTTGTTTTGCAAAACATTCGTGTTATAGAGTTGTGATTTACGTTCTCTTGTGAAATTTGAAAACAATAGGAGGCTCTAACTCCTACTTTTGTTTTAGGTTGCGTGCTATATTAGAAAATGAAATGATTAAGATTCACCTTATTTACGTCAATGTTGCATACGAAGATTCTTTTGAAGGTATTTTAATTTTTATAAACTTTGTATCACTTTTTATTCTAATTTATTTTGGTATTGTCGTTCCATTTTTTATTTTTCATTATTGTTGTTTGTGCTTCTGATATACCATGACACGACCCGCCTTAAACACCTACTAACTATAGGACAAATCGTGCCAACTACAGACCCTCAACCATCTACCAAGTCTATAGTCAACTTCTTTCTAAATTTCTAAAACTAATTTAGATTATTCTTCAACACATAAAACATAAAGTGTAACATAATTCATCTAAAAAAAATAACTACTCGGCCACGACTCCTAAACATGTTGTACAATAACAAAAGGTACAACTATTCCAGTATAAGTCATTCTAGATGTACATACAAAATGATATGCAAATTCTGAGACGGTGAGTGGCAGAAACTGGTCGGCAAGTCCCTATGAAACTCAGGTGCAGCCTGGAGGAGAAAAACAATGATAAACAGTGAGCTAGGAAGCTCAGTGAGTGACATTTTATTAAGAAAATAATTTCGTAAAACTTATTCCATAAAAACAACTGAAATTTCAATTCTCAAGACGAGCT